GCACCAGCGGATCGAACACATGCCCCCCCCCAGGGTCGCCCCCCCTTTGATGAACCCCGATTCTCCCTGTGGGCAAGACTTGTAGCCATGTTCCATGCGTCTTGGGGTTTCGGGCTCCCATCCCCGGATGCCAGATGCGCAAGGAGCCAGGGGCGCAGTGGATGTGGATGCGAGCCTGACCCCCAGGGGCTAGATGTTACGGTAGGTTCACGCGGCGTTGGCGCGCTGGCTCTTCTGGCGCAGGCGCTCAAGGTTGAATTCCGCGACGCGGAAGCACTGAGGGACACGGTCACGCCACTGGACCCGACAGAATTCATCTTTGAACCATCGGGGCCACAATCGATTCAAGTTTGAACCATCGATGCGGTGTCAAGAAACTCTGCGCGCGCCGGCGCCGCGCGAACTTACCGTATCCATGTCCACTGTGCCTCGGCCTTTTGGTGCACCTCCCAAGAAGTCCACGACGCGGTGGGTATTGATAGAAGTTTGGCCCACGCCTCCCGTCCCAGACATGCTCGCGCCGTAACAACAATGACGGCGGGAGGCTCCTTCCAACGAGAGGTATCGCCAGAAGCGTACGCTCTGGGAGCTCCGTGCGGATCTCTCGGAGGGGCGCTGGAGCCCCCGAGCCGACGCCTCCGGCGACGCCACTGGCGCGCTTCGCGCGCCGAGGTGGGACCAGCGCCGATCCGACAGCAAATCCGCGCTGACCTCTGTGTGGTGTGTCGTTCCTCCACGTTTTTTCGGTAGCAGCTCCTGGGAGTCTCTGTGTATCTCCGTAGATCTGTCTCCAGCGTCGACTAGCGTCGATTGGCGTCTGGGATTCGCTGGGATAGCGCCGATCTAGCGTCGGCTAGCGTCGATTAGCGTCGACTTAGCAACGATTAGCGTCGATGTAGTTCAGGGAACGAAGAATGGCATGAACATAAAAACACGGAGGTCCGCGCGTATTTCTCCGAGCGGCGCTGGCGGAGCGCGCCAGAGGCGGCGCCGGAGGCGCCGCCAGGGGGACCCAGCGAGGATCCGAAAAATCAGCGCGGACCTCCGATTGTTTTCCCCACTCAGTGCTCGCACTGAAGGGGTCCTAGCGGAAGTTGAAGTATTTGGCGAACGTTTCCCGCCGATTTTGGTAGCAGGCTGGGTTCCCAGGTTCCCGGTTCCTGGTTCCCAGGTTCCCAGGTTCCCAGGTTGTGGTTCCAGGTCGATTTTGGTGGGTTTGGGGTTCCCGGGCTCCTGGGTTTCCGGTCGATCTCCTCAGCGAAAACCACTCATTGATTGCGTTTTTTCTCTCGTGTAGTTATGTCTATGTCACTGTTCGCCCCCTTGTGGCACGGGAGGCTCCCAGGAGTTGCCACCCACACGTGTGGCCGATTTCGGCCTCCGGGTGCTGGCCCTCCGCCAGGCCCTGGGGCCGTGGTGAGGCGGCTTCGACAGGCGAGCGTCGGGGACCAGGCAGTGAGGCATGCCTCGGGAGGGGAAGTAGCCACAGACACAGATTCGCGAGCTCCCCCGGGAGAAGATGGAACCATGCGGGAGAAGGAGGGGCAGGCAGAAGTCCCGAGCACATGGGAACAGACGGGTTAGTCGTTTGATGGGCGCGCGCGTGTGTGTGTGTGTGTGTGTGTGTGTGTGTGTGCGTCTGTGCTTGTCTACATCTGCTCGTTCCGCCAGCGCAGTCACTCTGGCTATCCGCCAACGCAAATAGTGTGTGTGTGTGTGTGCTCACTGCCATCCACGCTCGGATGTGGTGTATGACGGTAGGTGCTGCGGAGTCCAAAGCGATTTTTGTGGGCCCAGCCGCGACCCCGCGCCAAGTATTTCTACTGACTCTGCCTCGTCGCTGCGCATGAGGCCGATGCCGCCAAACTGCGTCTGTGTGTGGTTGTCTCCATGGGTGCTTTCACTTCAGGGCATCGCATGTCTGGGATCCCTGATCCCGCTTGTCCTTTCGGATGCAACTCCTGGGAACACAAATTCTGGCTTGGCCCTGGTCCGAAATCGGGCTTAACCCCGCCTATTCCCGCTTAGTCCCGCTCAATCCGCGGACCCCTACGTGGCACGGTAGGGGTATACATATTGCAGCCGGGACAGGCGTCCCCGACGGCGGATACATTTATGTTGTATCCGTCCTTGCTGCCTAGAAACTCGGCCAGGCTGAGCTCGGTCAAGCTGCATTCGGCCCAGGCCGAGTTCAGCCTGGCCGAGTGCAGCTTAGCCGAGTGTAGCCTGGCGGAATTTCGCCTGGTTGAGCCTTTCCCTTGTCGTAAGGGGTCTCAGGATTGTCGGGGCTGGTCAAGAGGGGAATGATGATCAGGGGGACAGGGTTATCATAGCCATGATATCTCCCAGATGCCGTGGCCCCCTCTCTTTACTTTAACACTTCACCCTGTCCCCCATGGTTTGCGCCCCCCACTTGGACGCCCGCCTTTGGACGCCCCCGAGATTGTCTGGTGGCAGTGCCATTTTGTCTGATGCAGTTGATCATTTCGAATCCGCAAGGCATTCAGTATCATTTATCCGACCCCCATCACCATCCTCGTCCTCTTCGAGACCCCCACCAAATTGCCACCCCAATTGGGGGTACGCCCCTCGAAACCCGAAGGGGACGGCCTATATCCCCATCTAGGGGGGTTAATCGGTCAGTGGGGCCCAGGCCACGCCGCTGGGGATGGAGATCGGATAAACGATACTCAGACATCAGCGGACGGCCTGTCAGCGGACGTTTTCGAGGCCTGGGAGGCTGAGGGCATTCGCGACATCATTGGAGATCCATCGAGGTCACAAAACATGCACCCCCGAATCACGTCCGACTCACCATAACGTGTAGTCACCACAATGTTCTGGAACCTCCGAGGTTGGGGCACTGAGACCACACTGGATCGCTCTGGGGACATTCCGAGGCCAGGTGGTATTATCCCAGCAGGCTGTCCGTGAGCAAGCAAACGATCCGCCATCTCACAGGTCGAGGCAATTCTTCGAGTCATTTTTTCAGCGCGTTGCTCCGTCATCGGCGGCACCCCAGCATGTTAATACGATGTGTGCGTCGCCCCGCCAGGGGCGACGTATATGCGTCGTGGCGGGCGCTTTCTGGCCGTACCGCGCGGGAGACGATGCACTACAAGTTCTGTCTGCTATCTGTTCAGGTCGGGCGCGCGCCTCCAAGGAGGACATAAAGTACCAGTATGCCTCTGTGCATGTTGTGCAGTACTCGCAGATGACGCCAGGCTCGGCTCTGTCTGCTGCGACTGCCGCCTCGCCTCGCACTGGCTGGCCCCAGGGCTGCAGCCCACGACGGCCAGGCCCCACGGCACTGGCTGCCACTGCCGGCTCCTTTCGCGCGGGCGACACCAGCAGGCTGCAGCCGATGGCGTCTGGGCTCTGCACCACGCGGGGTGATCGAACTGGGCACGCAGAGAAGGAGTGCGATGCCCAACAGCAGTGCTTGTTCCTTTTGAATAGGGCTCGCTGCCCGCGCACCCGCGGACGTTGTCCTTTGAAGGCAAGAACGCCGCCTGCCCATCATCGGCCGCTGCGGGTGTCGCACAACCCTTGTTGTTGGGCATTGTACCCATTTCTTCCGCACCTACTTCGGGCGTCCAAAATCCAGCAGGGTGTAGCCGATGGCGTCCGGGCTCCTCACCATGTGTCGCATCTGCCGCCCTCTCCTGCATTGGCTCTGGTAAGGCCTCGGAGCGCGCGAAGACCTGGGATGCGCAGCGCCCTGGGCCGCAGACTCGGCCTACACCCCGGCACGGCGGCCCAGGAGTCATGGTGCCAGCATCGCACCCACGAGTTTGGTGTTTGGTATTTGGTGTTTGTGCTTGGTGATCGGGTGTTGGAGGTTTGGGTTGGCGCTGCTGGCGAGAGCGGGTTGGCGGGGTGGGGTAGTTGTCTTAGTTTTTTTTGTTTCCCGTAGGCCCCTGGAGAAAGAGCCCCTCTTCCCCGAGAGGCACTTTCTTGGGGCGACGGAGGTTTTCCCTCCTCCTCCTCCTCCTCCTTCTCCCCCTCCCCCTCCTCCTCCCTTTCCGCCTCCTCCTCCTCCTCCTCCTCTCCTCCTCCTCCCTCTTCTCCCTCTCCTCCGCTCCGCCTGCGCCCCCCCTGCTCCCGCCGCCTCCCTCCGCTCCAGCTGGCGGCGCCGCGGCCGCTGGCGTGGCCTCTCCTGGGGCTTGGCTCTCTGACGCAGGACTTCTGCGGATGCAACTCCTGGGAGGTCAAATTCTGGTTCGGCCATGGTCCGAAATCCCGCTTAATCCCGCTTAATCCGGCTTAATCCCGCCTAATGCCGCTTGATCCGGTTTAATCCCGCTTGATCCCGCTTGATCCGGTTTAATCCCGCTTGATCCGAGGCCCATCCTGGCTGGACTGCCCCCCAATGGGGCTTAATCCTCCTTCATCTTTCCGACGTGAACCTCCCAGTAGTTGCCTCCTAAGACTTCGAGGCGCATGCAGCCATGGCGACGGGGGCCTGGGCCCCCAGGGCGCCCCAGAAGGGTGCGAGACCTGGTCCGTCGACGCTCGATGGCGCGCGAGTGCGGCGACGACGACGAGCTCGATCTCCCAGCGTGCGCGCGGGTGCGCCGAAGGCTGCGGATGGCCTCCAGAGGGCTCCCGTCCCGCCCAAAATGCAGTCGCAGGGGCCAGCTTGGGGATCGTTGTTCTTGCCTCCCTTTCCTCCCTGCTCCTCCCCCTCCACCCTCCACCCTCCTTCATCCCTGCTCCTCCCCATCCCTCTTCCCTCCTCCCCTTCTCCTCTGGGAGTGATGTAGAAGGTTGCCTGACTGCAGTGGAGCTGCCGCCGACTGTAATGATGTGCGGTCAGAACCAGCCCGTGGACTCCTCCGGGGTGCCTTCTGGCTGCTTTCCGCGAGCCGGGCCCAGCCGTGTGGAGGCCAAGAGGTTGACACCAACACCGGCATCGGCGGTGTGCCTACACCGAGGGAAGATGCTCCCGATCTCGGCGATGGCGAGTGGCCGAGGATTGCCACCAGCACCCAGATCTAGGATCCTCTTCCCCCTGGTGGAGGCAGCCCCGTGTGCAGGTGTGGTTGCCCGCTTCCAGGCCTCCAAGAATGTCCAGAAGCGCCCGGTAAACCTCGAGGCGACGGCGACGTCGGCGACGCCGTCGTCGCGAGCGACCCCGAGGCGGGGCAGCTACGCCAGCACCGCGTCCCTGAGCAGCGTGGGCCAGTCGGACATCGGCTGGACCGCGCCCGCCTCCCGCCCCTCTGGCGGCGTCGTCGCCGTCCTCGCGCCGTCGCTGTGGTTGTTCTCCCCGCCGCCGCCGCGGCCGCGGTCGCCGCCGCGCCCTCGTCGTTGTCGTCCTGGGCGTCGTTTCTGGTGCGTCGTCGTGGTCGTGGCCCTCCAGGGCCAGAATCGCCTCGAGGTCCGTGGCGACGTACGTCCTTGGCGCGGCCCAGGGTTAGATCTGAGAAGGCGTACGTGGGGGGAGTCAGGAGGAGCAGAGAGTCGACGAACAAAAAAAACGGCAGAAACATAAACTGTCGACGCCGCGCGCGGAGTTCTTGGATCTGCGCTGGGGCCCTGGCGGCGCCTCCGGCGCCGCCCCTGGCGCGCTCCGCGCGCCAGTGAGGGGGCCCCAGCGGCCGATCCGAGAAATCCGCGCGGAGCGTCAAGAGTGTATGTTTATGCAGTTTTTTCCTTTTTCGAGAGAAGAAAGACGGAAACTGGAACGTACACATCGCCAGTGGCGGGATGTTCTTGAATCCCAAAACTTTTTCGAGGGTCGGGGAGGACGTCGGGGTAGTGTGGTGTATACTTGTCCCACGTTTTCCCGGGGAAGCAGCGACGCGTGTATACACCAGGGTCCCGTATACACCAGGACTCGCTTTCCCGTGCGGGTGCCAGTTCGGGGCCGGATAAGAACGTTGGTGTATAGAGTTCGGTTCCTTAGAAAGGGGCATGACGAAGGGGAGAGGGACGGGGCGCGAGGGGAAGCGAGGGGGGAGGAGTCGGCCTCGGATGTCGGAGGAGGGAGATGTCCGCGGAGCTGTCTGCGAGGGTCTGCGCGTGCCTCGCGGGGCAGCGGCCACCCCGCGCAGTGCGCCAGCACCCCGCGGGGCCTGCGGGCCATCGGCGCAAGGGTGTCCCTCTACAAGGGCTCCCCCGAGGGCGCGAAGTTATTCGCGCTTCGCGCTTCGCGGTCCTCGTTCCTTCTCCTCCTCCTCCTCGTCCTCCTCTTCTCCCTCTGGGGGGGCGGCGCGAGAGCGCGAAGTTATTCGCGCTTCGCGCTTCGCGGAGCGCGAAGCGCGAAGTTGGGAGCCCTAGCAAGGGTGTCCGTCTACGGGGAGACGATTCAAACATGAGTCCAAACACGGTCTTGGGACGATTTTCCATTTGTTTCGGACTATTTCTGGCATGTTGCAACTCTGTCTGCTTTGTCCTTCAAGACCTGCCTGCAGGAGGACATGCCCTCCCTAAAGCTTGGCCCTCTGGGGCAGGCCTCAGCCCGCAGATCAGGAAGAGGCATGACCGGGTGAGTGGCCCGCGGGGTCGGGGCAAACCCGCGGCGGGCCCGCAGGCGATGTAGTGGATGGCTGTTGTGCGATCCCGCTCTGCCGCGGTCATGCCTTCTCGTCCCGCGCCCCCGCGCTCGAGGACGAGGGCAGCGGTGAGAAGCCCCAGGTCGCTGGCCTTCGCGGCGAGTTCGTCGAGGGCGTCCGCGCCGCGCAGCACCCGCGCTGCCACGGTGCCCGAGCTCGAGGGGCCAGCGCTCGCAGATCGGGTGAGGGATGCCTCGGCCAGCGGGGCTTTCAGCATGCAGGTGTTCGAGGTTGCTCTGCGAGCCAGCGCACAGGGAGCATACATTGGGGAGCCTCGCCCGGGCCAGCCCCCACACAGTTGCAGGAATATTCGAGGTACCCCGTGCCACGCACAGGCCGTATGAAATCTCCACGACGATGTCACCCACCCCGACCATCGAAGGTCGACCGCGTGCCTTCGCAACGGCAGCGCCTTGGCGATGGGCACCAGCCCGCGGTCGCCAGGCTTGCCCAGCTGTTCGCAGCACCGCGCGCTCTCCGCCGCGCGGAACTCCGGCACCGCCGCCGCGTGGGCCCACTGATGGCGGCCCTCGGCCCCGCCTCCGTTGCGGCGGCCAGCTGGGGCGGGGGCGCGGACACGCCGCACGCCTGCGGCACCTCCACGGCGCCCCGCAGCCGGGAACCCCCCCCCGGCCTTCGGCGCCGCCCGGGGATCGCGGGTCCCGCTGGCGGCCCCTGTGGGGAGGCGGCGGCAGCCCTGTGGAGCCGCTCCGGGGTCGCGGTTGCAGTACGGCCCGGCCCCCCGAGAGGGAACTCTTGAGGGGCCGAGATCTGAGGCCAATGGAGGAGAGGAGACGAGACGAGATGAGAGGGGAGGATGGCGGAGGAGCGGGAGGAGGGAGGGAGGAGGAAAAGGGATGACAACGGCGAGGAGGATGTCGAGGAGGAAGATCCAGGAGGAAGTAGAGGGTCGTGGATGAAGGTTGTTTGACCTGTTTGGCCTGCAGAGTCAAAGAAGGACGGGAGAGGGAGGTCACTGGGGGAATGGTGGGAGCGGGGGAATAGCCATGGGTTTGTAAGATGAGGACGGTGGATGAGGGGTAGGGGAAGTGAAGGATGGGGGAGGAATTCTGTGGAGATTTCCAGCGGTCTTCTGAGACATCTGGAGGCTTTCAAAAGCCTATGACGTTCAGAGCGCCACAGACGACCAATACTTTCGAGCCTCGAACCTTGATGCTCCCCGCGAAACTATCCGCGGGTCCCTCCCGTAGTCCATCCTGCCTAGTTGTTCGAGCTGCGCCAAGTCGTGGCGACGCATGAAGGAAGGGAGGCCACAGGACAAGGCAGTCTCGATCCTCGAGCCCCGATACCCCCGAGGGGTGCCGAGCAGATGCGAGCGTCTTTTAGCCATCCTTTCCTTCCCCCCCACTCTTAGACTTGGACTTGGACTGCGGCTCAAAAGTCCAGCAAGACGGGCTATGAGACTGATCGTGCACCCCGAATCTACCCACAAGTTGTCGTACAGCCGTCGAGACTCCTGCCAGCGTGTCCTCATGTAAAATACGTACACTCCTCATGTTGCCCATAGCTCTACCACCGCTCACGCTCGTCATCGTCCCCTCCAACCTCGGTGGCCTTTGGAGGCCGAGGAGCTCCAGTGAACCTCGATCCACGACCCTCTCATTCTTCCTCCTGGATCCTCCTCCTCCTCCTCCTCCTCCTCCTCCTCCTCTCCTCCTCCTCTCCTCCTCCTCCTCCTCCTCCTCCTCCTCCTCCTCCTCCTCCTCCTCCTCCTCCTCCTGATCCTCCTCCTCCTCCTCCTCCTCCTCCTGATCCTCCTCCTCCTCCTCCTCCTTCTCCTCCTCCTCCTCCTCCTCCCCCTCCTCCCGCTCCTCTGCTCACCTCCCATCGCCCCTCCTCTCTCCCAACACCTCGGCCTCGAGCCCCGAGCCCCCCAAGGCGCGGCGAGTGGCTGTTGAGCTCCTCGCCGTCGCCATCGCCGTCGTCATCTTCGTCCTCCTCGCGGTCGTCGGTCGCTGCCTCCGCCGCTGCCGCTGCTGCTGTCGCCGTCGTCGCCGCCGCCACCGTCGTCTTCGTCGTCGTCGTCGTCGCCTTCGTTGGCTGTGTCGTCGCGGCCGCCGGTCTTCGGTCGCCCTGGCCGAGGGATGGCGAGCAGCTGCTGAGTTCCTACCCCTGGATCTTCCCTCCCTCGCCATCCTCCTCCCCTGTCCTCCTATCCTATCCTATCGTTCCCTCCTATCGCTCCCTTCCCCATCGCCTCTCCCTCCTCCTATCCCTCCTATCGCTCCTCGCCTCCTATCCCTCCATCGCCTCTCCCTCCTCCTATCCTATCCTATCCTATCCTATCCCTCCCTCGCCTCTCCCTCCTGTCGCTCCCTTCCCCATCCTCCCGCCCCGGCGGCCGTCTCCAGAGAGCGGCGAGACCGGGCGCGCCGCAGGGTGCCTGGCGCAGCTTGGTGCCCCAAGCTCAGGAGGGGAAAAACACACAGACACAATTAATCGTCGATTCCCAGGAAAATATGGGAAAATATGGGAAGTGGGGGGGAAGACAAGAACCCAGAAAATATTGGAAAATATGGGGAATTGTTTGATGTGTGTGTGCCCTGGGGCCCCTGGACAAGCCACATGCACCGTGGCGCGCGGGACGCTCCGTGGCACTTCCCCTCCTCCCTCTCCGCGGCCCTCGAGCCCCGATGCCCCCGAGGGATGACAATCAGCTGCTGACGTCCCCATGGCCCGTCTCCGCGGACGCCTTCGACGAGCTCACCGCCGAGAAGCGCTTCGCGCACGCGCCCGACCGGGCCACGGCGGGGGCGCTATACGGCTGCGCGCGCCGCAACCGCCGCCGCCGACGACGCCCACGGTGTTGGCTTTGGGCTTGCGGGCGCCCGCGACGACGACGACGACGACGACGATGACGACGACGATGACGACGATTGGAACGTCAGTATTCAGCATGAGAGGGGGGAGATCTTCGCTTAGGGTATATTCGATCTTTCTAAGAGCTTCTATGCGAAAGCCAACGGTTTGGGGCTGCCGTGCAGCAGGGTACACGATCCCTCGGCGGCGCTCGCGACGACCCCCTGGCGCGCGGAGTAAAACATGTTTCGCACCCCACGGGTTGCATTCATCAGCCGGGGGGGGCAATCATTTGGTAATCACAATCTGACATTCGAGAAACGGGTATAAAGGGGAAGTGAGAGGGGGGACCAGGAGGGACAAGGGGAGGGGGAGAGGGACTACGGCCTGCTAAGGGGAGGGAAGGGCATCGGGATGGCGACTAGCTAGTATTTTCCTGACGCCCCCTAGGACGGGGTCGGTGGCGGCGGCGACGACGACGGCGAACCGTGGGCGAAAAACCTATCCGCATCCTCGGCCTCGCGGGCCAGGCACCGTGGCCGCGACCCCGCGGACACGGGGCGCTTTTTCGAGGATGCCCCGCGCGGATCGCTACCAAGCGTCTCCTCCTCCGCCTCCTGCTCCTCCTCCTCCTCCACCTCCTCCTCCTCCTCCTCCTCCTCCTCCTCCTCCTCCCCTACCCCTCCTCCTCCGCATCCTCCTCCCCCTCCTTCTCGTCCTCGTCTCGTCCTCCTCCTCCTCCTCCTCCTCCTCCTCCTCCTCCTCCTCCTCCTCCTCCTCCTCCTCCCTCCTCCTCCTCCTCCTCCTCCTCCTCACTCCTTCTCACTCCTCCTCCTCCCCCCCCTCCTCCTCCTCCTCCTCCTCCTCCTCCTCCTCCTCCTCCTCCTCCTCCTCCTCCTCCTCCTCTTCCTCCTCCTCACTCATCACTCCTCCTCCTCCTCCTCCTCCTCCTCCACCCCCTCCTTCTCCTTCTTCTCCTCCCATCGGAAGAAATGGAAATCTCGGGCGATCTCTTCTGGATTTTCAGAGACGCTTACGTGTATTATGATGAACCAGTATGGGGGTCCCAGGGCTGTTGTGGCTACCTACGCGGGGTGTGCTACCAAAGGCTTTCCTGCTGGGTGCTCGCTTGCGACCCACAACGTCCAAATGTATACGGTTCCCCCCATGGACTCCTGGGTTCCGAAGTTCCCCACCGTGGACCCCTCAATCTTCATAGATGATTTCATGCTGACTAGCAACAACACAAGTGTTCGCCTGTTGGTGTCGGACCTGGCGCAGGCCTCCGACAGCATGCTAGATTTAATCGAGGAGGACCTCGATTGTTCGGTCGCCTTGCACAAGGCTGCAGTGTTGGGCTCGTCCGCTGCAGTACAGCACCGCCCGGCCAAAGCTCTAGGTAAGTACAGTGGACCAGAGGGAGTCAAACAAGCACAGTCTGCGCCAAACCTCGGAGTCGATTTCACCATGGGCAACAGGGTCTCGAAGAAGGCCCGAAATACTCTGGCGAAACGAACCTCCAAAATGAAACGGCGACTCCACCGTCTGATTCGGCGAGCAGGTGCGAATATGCGGAAGATTTATCAGACAGGTTTGAAGGCGGCCGCCTACTATGGCGCGGAGGTCGTCGGCTTCACCAACCCCGAGTTGCATGAAGCCCAGTCCCTCTACCTCAAGATTGTAGGGCCCCGCTATGCTACAAGATCCAGGTCCCTGGCATTATCGAAATTGGGGCACCCGGCTTGGAGTGCTGCCTTGGGGCCGGCCTGTTATTGGGCCAACCTGATCTGGAGAGTTGCTTAGAATCCTGGTAAGATTGGCTTTTCTCTGGTTGGACTCCGGGAACAAGCCCTGCAGGTCCTCCACAAGCCCCCTACGAAGTGGTACCAAATCCGCGGGCCCTTAGGGGCCACGATGTTCAGCCTGAGCCGTCTGGGGTGGTCCATGCCCGACCCGCTCGTCTTCAGAGACTCGCAAGGCCAGGACTACCCACTCATTACTACCTCCCCTGCCCTCATCAAGAAGCTGTTTCAATCCCGGTGGCAGTTGCAGTTAGACGCGGAGGCGGGGCAGAAGCTCGGTTTCGACGAGCCCCTCGACCCATCGGTCATGCAGCGCGCGCTGCAGGACAGTACAGTGCAGGCCTACAAAAGGAAGACGCTGCTTTCGCATGGCTGCCAGTGCATTTGGACCAAAGAAAAGATGGCCGAGGCAGGCTATCATAACGAAGTCGAATGCGAGCTGTGCAACGGCCCCGTGGACTCCATACCCTACAGGCTCCTTGAGCGCCCGCAGACCCGCAACCTGAGAGAGGAAATGTTAAGTGAAGCTGATATCGAGGAGTTCAAGGCCCGAGGAGAGGATTTCCACATGTGCTAGGATTTCAACTTCGACCTGAACCCATTGCTCTGAGGCCCCCTGGTTTAGGACTAGATCAGGCTGTATATTGGTCTAGAGATGGGCTGCCCAAGGAGGTGGCCATGCAAGGTGAAGTTTTCCATGATGGCAGCGTTTTGAAACCAGGGCCCGCGGTGTATGATGCCCCCGCCTGGTCCGTGGTCAAAATCGACCAGGACGGCGACCTGGTTGCCAGTCTCTCAGGCCCTGTGGGGGCCAGCCTTCCTCCCACGTCGCCCGCTGCCGAACACCTGGGGTTTCTAGTTGCTACGTCCTGCCCCAGAGTCACCAAAGCGTGGACGGATTTCAAGGGTATCCCCTCGGTGCACCAGAGCGCCGAAGTCTCACGTAAGGAAATGTACTCAGCAGTTTAAGTACTGGCCACGACCCAGAGCTGGTTTGCGTCCCTCGAGATAGGGAAAGCCAAGGCCCACCAGAACCTTTCTTCCCTGGTAGTCGGCTCGAGGAACTGGTTTGTTGCCAAAGGTAATGACTGGGCGGACAAGGTGGCCAAACAAGCAGCCGCCAGAATCCCCGCCCCGTCCCAGAGAGAAATCGAGCATTATAAAGAATGTCGCAGCCGAGTTCAGAGGCTGGTGAAGTATGCTGCAGAGGCTCTCTCCTTGTGGGCCCCACTCGCTCCGAAATCGGGCAAGAAGGCCTGCGAGAAGCCCGCCCAGAGCTTCAATCCCCTAGTTGGGGCAGCGGGAGCAGTCAACCAGTGGACTGCGCCACCCCCGCCCCCTGGGGGTCGTCCTCGGCGCGCTCGAGCGTGCCGTGACCCCCAGGGAGTGGCGAGACATCAGTGGGCATGGCTTAATAATCATTGGCTGTGCCTCGCCTGTCACACCCGCGCCCGCACGGACAGCACTCGCAAGACCCGCTTGCGAGAAGCGTGCCCAGGCAATTCAGTCATGTTGCAAATGTTAATTAGGGACCCCCAGAAGCACCAATTAATGATTTGTGATTACCTTGATGTTGAGTCCTTCCTAGTCGTTTGCAAGAGGTGCGGCCGCTACAGCGAAAGCAACCTCAAAGGACTCAAAGGTGAGTGTAAGGAGCGCTTCCAAAGCAAGTTCTCCCAAGGTGCGTGGTCCCTCCTGGCAAGCGGCCGTCATCCCAAGAGCAGCATGCAGGCCCGTCCCCGACTTTCCCTGCCCATCCCTGCGGCCCAGCTCTTCAAGGAAGAAGGGGCGACGTAGGGAAGAAAGCCAGCGTAAGAGGAGGGCGGATGTCACCCCTAGGTTTCGGTTAGGGTCGGGTCGGCCTAACCCTAGCCTCCCTCATTAGCATGTGATGGTCATCCTTCTCTTCCCCCTCCTCCTCCTCCTCCTCCTCCTCCTCCTCCTCCTCCTCCCCCTCCTCACTCCTCCTCCTCCTCCTCCTCCTCTCCTCCTCCTCCTCCTCCTCCTCCTCCTCCTCCTCCTCCTCCTCCTCCTTCCTCCTCCTCCTCCTCCTCCTCCTCCTCCTCCTCCTCCTCCTCCTCCCTCCTCCTCTCCTCCTCCTCCTCCTCCTCCTCCTCCTCCTCCTCCTCCCTCCTCCTCCTCCTCCCCTCCTTCTTCTCCCCCTCCCCCTCCCTCTCCTCCTCCTCTCCTCCTCCTCCCCCTCCTCCTCCTCCTTCTCCTCCTCCTCCCCCTCCGCCTCCTCCGCCTCCGCTTCGGCGCGCCTGCGCAGCGGCGTGCCGAGGTCCAGCGGCTCTATTGCAGGCTCGCCGCGGCCACGCTCGACGCCGCCGAGGCGCGCGGGCGCCGCTCGGGCGGCGGCATGCCGCGCCGCGGCACTCCGCGGCTCGGCGGCGGCCTTCGGCGGCCCCCGGGAGGCCCTCGGCGGCCCTCCACGGCCCTCCGCGGCCCCTCATAGGAGGAAACTATGCAAGGGCTCCCTCGAGGGCGCGAAGTTATTCGCGCTTCGCGGTCCTCGTTCCTTCTCCCCCTCCTCCTCGTCCTCCTATTCTCCCTTTGGGAGAGCGGCGCGAGAGCGCGAAGTTATTCGCGCTTCGCGCAGCGCGAAGCGCGAAGTTGGGAGCCCTAGGAAAAGATACCCATGCCGCTACCTCTCGCCCGTTATCCCCTTTTTGGGCCTCCTAAGAGGCCCTCGTCGCCATCGGTGGATTCGCCGCGAAATTCTGGTCAGAACGCACCCTGGGAAAGGTCCGGGGAGTAGCGGTTTCGGTGCCTTTTGGTTTTCCCGGGTTGCTGGAGGCATTCGGCGGCCGCCGGGCTTCTGGAGGCCAGAGGAGGCCTTCCCAGACATGGTCGCGGGCAGTTTTTCGGAGGCCTCGGTCAGGAGGGGAGGCTCCGGAGGAGGTTATTGGACAAACTCGCCCTCGGGGGCCAGGCCTCGGGGCCGTCCGAACAGGACTCGGGACGAAAAGCTGGCCCCGGGGAGGGGGTCGGGACTTCCATGGGCCCCGTGCACCGAAAGAGTCAGGACGTCGCCTGTCGGGGTTCGGAGACCTGCCGATCTCTGGAGGCCTTCGCAGGAGGCCCTCGGCAGTCCCGCGGGGGCCTCGGGCGGCCGCCGCCGTGGCCGCCGCCAGTCGTCGCCGTCGCGGGGTCGGCGTCGCTGCGGTCGCGGGTCGGCGTCGGTGGGCCGTGGTGCCAGCGCCGCCGCGGTGGTCTCGCGTGCGGGCGCTGTCGTCGTCATCGTCGTCGCCGTCGTCGTCGTCGTCGTCGTCGTCGTCGTCGTCGTCGTCGTTGTCGTCGTTGTCGTTGTCGTCGTCTTGCCTGTCCCAAAGGTGCCCTCAGCGCCGCGAGGGAGGGCAGGGGCAGCAGCGGCACCACAGGGGGGGGCGAGGACGAGTAGTTCTGTGTGGTTGTTGCTGCTCTTCCTCTCCCCCTCGTTGCAACCATCCCACTCTTCCTCCCTCGTGCTGCCCCTCCTCTTGCGTCCCTCCTCGTTTCCCAGACGTTTCTCCTCTTCCTCCTCCCCCTCCTCCTCCTCCTCCTCCTCCTCCTCCTCCTCCTCTTCCTCCTCGTCCTCCTCCTCCCCCTGATCGTCCTCCCCTTTCTTCTCGGTGCTCTCTCCCATGTTCTCCCCCTCCGTTTTTTCTCCAGTCTCTTCGGGTTTCGCACCTTCCTTGCGATCCTTCCTGCCATGGTCGTTGTCGTCCCCCCTTCCTCATGGGCATCCTCGTCCTCCTTGCCTCCCCTTTGCGCCCCTCTTCTCCCCATGGGACCCCCTGCCCGCCCACCTCTCCCTCACTCCTCCTCGTGCGCATCCTCGTCCTCCTCGTGTCCTCCCCTTTGTGTTCCTCTCCTCCCCTGGGGACCTTTCTGCCCGCCCACCTCGTCCTCACTCCCTCTCGTGCGCATCCTCGTCCTCCTCCTCCTCCTCCTCCTGTCCTCCCCTCTGTGCCCCTCTTCCCCCCATGGAACCGCACGGTGCCCTCTGTGCCCCCCTCCTCGCGGCCCTCCTTTCGGATGCAACGCCTGGGAGGCCTAATGTTTACGAGGCCCTGGTCCGAAGTCTGGATGAATCCGGCTCAATCCCGCTAGCTTCGGGCAAATCCCGCTTAATCCAGTTAAAGCCCGCTAAATCGGCGGCCTACTCCAGCGTAGCAGCCCCCCAGAGTGGCTTAAGATTCCTTAGTCCTTCCGACGAAGACCTCCCAGTAGTTGCCTGCCTACCCCCCCCCCCCCTCCAGGTCTTGGACTTCTCCTCGATGCCGGCGCCTAGCCAGAGCGCTGCGAGGCGCCGGCCTTGGGAGCGTCCGCAGGGCAGCGGCGGCGCGATTGGCGCGAGCTCCCTTGTCGTTAGAGGCGGAAAGCAGGGCCACCGCGGGGACGGGGGGACAGTGACAGCAGGAGGAGTAGGAGGAGGAGGAGGCGGAGGAGGAGGAAGAGGAGGAGGAGGGGAAGAGAAGGAGACGAAGCGGGGGAGAAGATGGAGGAGGAGAGGACGCGGACGAGGAGGAGGAGGAGGAGGAGGAGGAGAAGGAGGAGGACGGGGTTCGGGTCCCGTCCTGGCTCGAGACGCTGCACAAGAGCATCTCCGCAGATGCAGAGCTGTGCCCAGACTTGGCTTTTGGGTCGCTGGATCTCAAGAGTGCGTTCACCCGCTTGCATCGGAGGCCGGTGCTGCGCCGGGTGCGGGAGCGCTGCTTGGAGCTGGAGGGCCTGGTGGTGCAGTGGCACGGTCGTGCGACAGTACGCTCAGCTGCGGGGGCCGGCGGGGTGTCCCACCTGGTGGGACAGCAGGAGGGCCTCGACCAAGGGTGTCCCCTCAGCCCAGTTGTCTTGAGCGCTCCGGAGCTCCGCGCCCTGCGGGACTTCCTGCGCAGCCTGAACCTTCGCTGCAAGATGTGGGCTTACCTGGACGACGCCTGCCTGACAGTGCCGAAAGCCCACCTGCACCGGGCGTTCTCTCTGCCGATTTAGGCCTCGAGCTGAACACGAGCAAGACGCAAGACGAATATCTGGTGCCCAGACGGCCAGGTCACTGCGCTGCTTGACGGGACAGGGGCGTGGGTCGTGGACGCACTGCCTTGCTTGGGTAGTACTGTGGCCTTCGTCAGGGCCCGGCACGACGCGGACGACGAGGAGCGGAGGGACACGCTCGCAGAGGTCTTCGACTAGACCTCCTAACCACCTTGGCCGTGCGGCTTGCCGACTACGGAGAGGCGCTCGCCAAGCTGGACGCGGCGGGGCTCGAGAAACACGACTGTTTCAAATTTTTCCGCACCTACGTGAACGGCGCGGTGACGCACTTGCAGCGCGCCCGCCTTGCGCCGAAGGGGGCCTGGCGTTCCTTCGACGACGCGGTGGTGACGCAGGTCGAGCGCCTGGCCGGCCCGAGCCTCGCTGAAGACGGCCGCGCGGTCCTCTTCCTACCCGTGAAAGCAGGGGGGGCCGGCTTCGGGCCCGCGGAGCGCAGCGCCGACGCGGCCTGGCTGAGGCCGCGACGCCGATGCTGACGGCCGCTGTGGCAGAGGCGCAGGTCCGCCTCCGGGCAGGGGGGGCCTTCGCCCCGCTGGACCCGCGGCGCCAGGTCAAGCAGCGCGCCTACACGAAGCAGGTGGCGGCCCGCGCGCACGCCGAACTCTGCGCGCGCCTCGCCGAGCCCGCGGCGGAGTTTCTTTTGTCCCATGGCGGGACCAGCGCAGTGGCGCTGCAGCCGCCGAGCTTGCCGCGACACCTTCAGGAAGACGACGAGTTCGCGGTCACGCTGCCGCCGAGCCTGCTGCACCTCGACCCAGCAGGCCAGGGCGGCGCACCGTGCCAGAACATGGCCGCGTCTACGGGCGCGCAGTGCGGGGCCAGCACGGCAGAACCCCATGCAGGGCACGCGGCCGTCTGCAACGCCGGGCTCAGTTTCGTGAGCCAGCACGACGGCGTCCGCGACCAGTTGGGCGATTAGTTGTCGGAGCGTCATGGGTCTCAGTCCGCGACGATTGAGCAGCGCATCACATCCTGGGACGCCGCAGTGACCGCGGAGGGCGCCCGAGCAGCCGTCCTCGACGTGGTCCTGGCGCATCCGGGCGGGCGCGCGTGCGTCGACACGAGCATGACCGAGGCCATCGTCGCCGAGGGCCGGCGCAACGGCCCGGGAGCGGGAGCAGGAGAATAATTCCCGCTACCCCGTCCCTGGCCTGATGGCCGCGGTGGCTGAGAGCGGCGGCTGCCTGGGGCGCGAGTTCGATTTCTTCCTGCGCGAGCGCGCCCCAGTGGACCTCGAGACCAGGGCCGATGCCCTGGCCGACGCGAGGCAGCGCATGGTCGCGGCCGTCGCGGCGACGCTGCTCAGCAGCGCGGGGGCGCGTGCAGTCGTCCCCCGCCCAAGGGCTGGGCCGCGGCCGGGCCCGCCCGCGGGCATTGCCTCGCCCGCCCCCCCCTTCCGCTCCTCTTCCCTTTTTTTCTCCGTTCCCCAGGCAGTGATAATAGATTAGCTCCTCCCCCCGCGCCCCCCCTATGCTATCTGCGCTGCTCGCCTGCTTCCCATCCTCCTCGCCCTGCGTCCCTCGTCTCTCCCTCCTCGTGCTCTCTTGTTTCGCCTGGCGCCGTGGCCTCCTTCGCTCCTCTCGCCCGTCCCCGTCCTGGGAGCCTCCGTCGAGTCCGCCACTCGTCCCCGTCTGCTCGCTGGAGGGCGCGGTGTTTGATTAACTGGGGGTGCCAGATGTAGACTCCGCGCAGGGCGTCGCGGACATTATCTGGAGTGGCGCCAGGCCGCGCTGGCCCGCTTGCCTGGCAGGGCCGGCGGGTCAATCGACAACGCCAGACGGCCTGCATCCGCCCCCCCCCCATCCTGCTCCTGATCCTCCTCTTCTCCGCTTGTCATCGCCCCTTCCTCAGCAACCAGGCGCGGGCAGTGTCGGTCATGGGGCAGAATAGTGTGGATCGGACATGCAATCTCGCCCCCTGCTTTTGCCGTCTGGCCCGCCTCTGCCCGTTCCTTTCTTGGGATTAAGTGGTGGTGGTGGTGGGGGGAGGAAGATGAGGAGGAGGAGGAGGAGGAGGTGGAGGAGGAGGACAAGGAGGAGGAGGAGGATAAATGACAAGAGAACAAAAACAAACGAAGAGGGGGATGAGGAGGAGCAGAAGGAAAAAGAGGAGGAGGGGGAGGGGAAGGAGGAGCAGAAGGAGGATGAAAAGAGGAAAAGAAGAGAGAAAAAGAGGGACGACGGCGAGGGGCGAGGGGTGATTCGGAGGCCTGGGAGGCCGGCGCCCGCCCCCACGCCAGAGCCCCACGCTTGTCGGGGGCGCCTTGCTACACTGACGTCCGACGTCGTGGTTTTCCGCCGCGGGTTTGTCGCAGTGTTGGGCACAGCGCTGGCTGACCGCCCCGGCCGCTCAAAAACGACGCACCTCGCCATGTGAGTGCCCGTCCCTCCCTCCCCTCCCCCCTCCCCTCCCTCGCGGCCGCTTTCGCTCGTTTACCCCCTTCCTGCCGCCGGTTAACTTGCGCTTGCCGTTGCCTGGGCCGCTTGTGAGCACGCGTGCGGACTGCCTCGGCCGCGCTGCGACGTCAAACGTTTGTTCATGCCTGCCGCGCGCACAGGGGTATGGGGGAGGGGGGGGGTCTGAGAAGGCGCCTGCGCCTTAGAAGCGCTGGCCTCATCTACAATCAGCAGCCTCCTTCTAAGAGGTTTTTTCGTCTCCCCCCCTCTTCGCACCTCCAAGTTTGGGCAGCAACCGTGGAACCAGCGTTGGGCCGCATTCGGATTGCATTACGGCCGTTCCGCCTGCTTTTCCTTGTACTTCTTGTTTATCGTCCCCCATGTGTTGTATTCGCTTTCTTCGTGGAACGGCGGATCCGGTCCAAGATCTGGTCCCAGTCCGGTCCCACATGTGTTTTAATACGGTCCAAACTCGGCCCAAATCTGACAGCGCCGGGGGCCGCACAGGCTCCCCTTGAACGTACACGGACACCAAAGATATGCATCAGGGGGGGTCGCACCGACCAATCGTCAAGAGATCGCTGGTAGTGGCCCGACAGCCGTACCCCGCCCAGTAGCGCGCGGATTCGCCATCGGGTGTCAATCGGCGATGCGTCGCCGATTCCAGTTCGACCTTTCTCCCCCTGAGTCCGTCCCTTTTTCCCCCCTGACATTTCCCCACAGGAGAGCGGACAGAGGAGGGGGATCAGGACAGGGGGGAGAAACGAGCGTGGTGAGGGTCAAGATGTTCGACGGAGTGTGCAGTTGTTTGGCCGATTGCAGCACCCTCGTGCAAACGACCTGGCGCCGCTCGCACAATTGGCCCAGGCACGTCGCCGGGAAGCACCGGGGGATGATTGCCGAGGGAAGAGGAGGAAACGGATGATGATGATGATGTTGATGATGATGATGATGATGAGGAGGAGGAGGAGGAGGATGTTGATGATGATGATGTCGATGCTGATGATGCGGATGATGATGAAAATGATGATGATGCTGATGATGCGGATGATGATGATGATGATGCTGATGATGATGAGGATGAGGATGAGGATGATGAGGATGAGGATGAGGATGAGGATGAGGATGAGGATGATGATTGTGATGATGCTGATGATGATAGTGATGATGATGATGGTGGTGGTAGTGATGATGACGATGCTGATGATGATGCTGATGATGCTGATGATGATGATGATGCTGATGATGATGCTGATGACGATGCTGATGATGATGATGCTGATGATGTTGATGATGATGATGATGCTGGTGTTGATGATGATGATGATGATGATGCTGATGATGATGATGATGATGATGGTGGTGATGATGATGATGCTGATGATGATGATGATGCTGTTGATGATGATGATGATGATGATGATGATGGTGATGATGATGATGCTGATGATGCTGATGATGATGATGATGACGACGATGATGATGATGATGCTGCTGCTGCTGCTGATGATGATG